GTATGAAATGTGCAGCCGTTGGTAACGTATCTGTCATCGACATAGCTGTTTATATCTGGCAACCCAGTAGTTCGCCCAGGTAAATAATAGACAACCCAACGGCTGCACATTTTATACGTTTTACGACAACATTTTCTTATTATCTTGATGTTGCACAATTTAATACTCTTTTTAATAAATTTAAAAAAAACTTGGCTAAAGTTGTCTGAAAGAAATCGCTCATTAGCGATAAGACCGCCCTTTGTGCAATGTTGTATTTTTCTACTTGTTTTATATCTGTGTTGTGCCATAAAGAGTTTTTATCTTATCTTTTAATAAAAGTCTGTCCGGGGTTTTTAGGCAACCCATTTTTAATATATTTTCTAATATACTAAATTCATGATAAAATATGTTTCATTCTATTATCAGCTCGGTGAAGCTCGATGTAGGTTCCGATTTAAGGCCGTATACAGAAAGAAAGCCGAAAGCCGATCGGCACTTATCGGCGCCGATCCGTCCTACATAAAGGGAGCCGATTAAAGCAGATCAAGCAAAATGTCGGACTCATCGGACGATGATTTGGTTTTGTTAGAAAATGTTTATTTAAAAATGCGAGAGAAAGGAAACGTTTCGGAGAATACCATCATTTATTTGTAAAAAAAATTAAATTTGATGAACAAAGATTTTATACATACCTATACAAGAATGATTCAAGAAACATTTTATTACATTTTGGATTTAGTGAAAAACCGTTTGATGAAAAATTGGGGCAATTGGCATAAACAACCAATCCTTCCAGAAGAAAGACTTGTTGTCACCATTCGGTAAGTACGAAACAAATAATTTTAGCGCTTAGTTAATAAAAGATAAAGTTATTAGATTTATAAAAAGATTATAACTTAGATTGATTTAATCTAAGGATAATAATTCAAATACAAATTATTTATTATTCGGACCAGCGCGTGTCGGCCGGTCCATAGAAAAAGGCTCAGCGCCAATCGGCGCTTATCGGCGCCTATCGGCTTTCTTTCTGTATACGGCCTAAGACTACATACTTCTTTGACCTAAACAATTAGCATAAAAAAGTAGTCGAATTTTGTCTTAAAAGTCAATTTTACTAATCAACTACCTATCAAGATTTACTAGAAAATATAATTAAAAGTGGTAAAAAATTTCGTCGAGAATTGGAAAATGAAATATTTCTTTAATTTTCAAATTATCGAGTGAATTTTCTTACTTACTATTACTAAGAAACTACGCAGATGCAACTACGGCTTTCAAAATAATCTTTACTCAAATGTTAATCATATCGGATTGCCAGTATGAATAACCACTGTTAAAAAAAAATCAAAAATATTTAATATTGTAATCTCTAAATTATTTTTGGAATATAAAAGAGACCCGGCACTTTTCATAGAAAAAATGCTAAACTTGTATACAGTTGAATTTGGTCTCAAAATAAAGCCAAAATTATTTGCTACATAAAACTACTTTTGTCTTATTTATAGTGAATCGTGGAAAGAAGTTATAGAAACCCTTTTGATGACAAACCTACGTATTTGACATTGACAGCGAGCTGCTGATGACAAATATTGCCAGACTACGTTACCCAATTATGAAACACTTTATACTTTATATATTAAAAAAGTATACAACTTTGGCACAAAATGCCGGGTGTCCTTTAATGTAGTAGTTAACGAAGCTTTTGGATACCTTTTTACAATCAGAAATTGGCAAATCAAACAAAAATTATCTGTCACTGATTTCAAGTTAACACAAACTCCCACAGATTATAACGATACAACAGTCTAGTGCAATCCAATTTATATAAAAGATGAACAATCTTGGCATGTCTTTTTATTCTTTTTCCGTTTTAAGTTTAAATTAAAATTAAATTACTAGGTATTATTAAAGTGAAACTTCTTTACGCACACCTGACTTGGGACCCCCCAAGCTGGCGAATGCGTTACGCGTTACGAAAAGTGTGATTGGGCGAGGTGAACGGGAGTTGAGTGGAGGATATAAGCAAGGGAATTTCTTTCTTTCTTTTTCTTATAACCAGTAAATGAAATATGTATATGTACACACGTGTATATATTGTACATATACATATATACATATAGATGGAGCTTAAGAAGTTTCACTTCAGTCGTATGGTCATAATACCTAAGCACATTCGTTTTTTTTACGTAACACCCAAGCGTCTAGGTAAATTTGCCTAAGTAAAAAAAATCAATGACAAGATTATTCACCTTCTGTACAAAATTGACTTGAAACTAACAATCCGTTTATTATTTAACAATATCATAAATAACATATGTAGGCAACGAAAATGCCTAATTTTAATATTTCTTTCACAGATTGCTGTCACTATTTGGCGTTATCGAGTAGGTACAACGATTTAATTAGGCACAAATTTACAACTCGGTGAACTTTCATTGCTTTCATCATTGAACTAATCAAGAACACGTGAGGAAATGAATATCTATGGTCAATTTCAACTTTAAGAAGTACCTACCAAAATAGCTTGAAATAATGTAAAACAGACTTGATTCTCAGAACAAGAACTAAAACAGCATAGAAGTGATGTAATGACTCACGCAGCCTTAGCTGGATATAAGTCAAATGTGTACTGAGTTTTAATTTTCGTTACGTCCGTTGTGACGCTGCTGTTCAAGTTTCCATACCAAATTTGACATTGACATTTCGCACGTACCTAACGAATTTGATATTGGTTCGTACTAAGGGTACCGCATAGATTATACGTATAACCCAACCAAAAAGTATTGGTGGCGTGTTGGCAGGTCGCATTTAGACATTAGATCGCTTTTTGAATCGTTATCGTAAAACATGGCGTACAGAGGCCAAAGATATCCAATTCGACTGATAATAGGCTAGTACTCATGTCGAATTGTATTAGGTAAATAAATGTCATAAAAGCAGAAGATTGCTGTAGAAATTTAAGTTTAAACAATATTTTTTAAGTCTATACTTTTTTAACACTAAAAACGCTGTTCGCCACATCTGCCATCATTGTGACGTCTCTTTGGTAGTAAACAACTAAATGTCATTCGCGTGGAACTGTGGGTGGATACTTTTGTCTGACTAAATTTATCGTTCAAAATAAATTGTACTATGAGTCGATAAAGTTGCAGGATCCCTTTTAGCAAGTTCTATGTATTGCGTAGATTAATTTCTTTCGGCACTTTAATCCACAACTTTCCTGGAGTCTTCAAGGATGTGTTTTTATATTCTCGTACAATACAATAATAATAATTAGTATATTTTTCGAAGTATTTATTAGAAATCATGTTTTTTTTATTATAAACTCAGATAGGTTATTTTCTACGTGCTTATGAGTTTTTGTTTACTACCGGTTGACGTCATAGCATAGATAATCTATAGACTAAAATGGCCGACAGCGTTTTTGTATGTCCATGAAAAGTCTATTTTAAAATTAAAGATTTGTAGCTTTCCAGGTCTCAAAAAGGTTTTTTTCGGTCTAATAGAACATTTATTAACCATTTAAAACCTTATTCCACAAAAGGGTCAACTAGCCTATTGTCTCATTTCTGGTCTAATGTAAAAATAAGATAAATTTGTTTTAACATATAGACCCGAAAAGAGAAGTTGACTTTATGAGTTGAATTTAAACTCTTATCCCCTTATTAATAAACAAGGTATAAGCTTAGACTAGTTACGCCGTATTTTATTCATATCACTCAAATGCCATCTGTCATTCAATAGACAGAGACAAAACATAGAGTAACTAATCCAAGCGTACTCTTCGTTTATTAACATGGGGGTTAAGCTTTACTTCTTGTTCTGAGACTTCAATAAATTAAATTAGATCTTTTGATGGCGTTCCAATGTCACTTAAGTTCAACAAAAATAGCATAGCAAAATAACACAAAACGATGGTAAGACACTTTTAATAAGGCATAAAATACAGTAGTTATTAATAGTAAGCATCAGATATAACTCCTAAAGTTCAACAATCAGCCTCTATAAAATACATTTTTGGAGGTTCTATGGCTTGGTTAGTAAAATTCTTTATTGTTAAATGGCTTGTTTGCATTTACAATGAGCTATTTGACAAGTTTTTGTAAACGTTCATACGTTATTTATTTGTGTATAGAGACTCAATAAAAAGTTGACATTTATAATTCTTTCTTAGGTTTTCACGCACATCACTCATTAAATAAAACTAGTTTTTCACGGGTTAATGCACGAAACTTTATTTATTTATTGACGTTTCGCAGCCTTTACAAGTTTAAAGTCGAAAAACTAGTTTAATTTATAATTCGGTTTCGTATAACAGTAAAAAAAGGAAAATAAAAATTATGTTTTCAAATATGCCGCGGAAACGTTTCACTAACAAATATTATGACGTCTTACAGGCAGGTGACGTCACACGGCTCTTAATAAAACGTCAAACAATTACAAAGTAATGTCACTTAATAGTCAGCATGTTTAAGTCATTTTAGGCTCCGCCAATCCTAAGCGTTTTCGGCTACGCGAGAATAGATCAAAAAATACTTTTCTATTTCATGACTTTTAGTAAAACATTTTATCAACTACTATTTTTGAGAGAGTGGTGAAATTGTTAAATACACATGCCAATAATTGGTAATTTATTTTTCAAACTGTCAAATAGCTCATTCCACAAAATAATTTAATCAAACTCGAAAGTGAATTAACATCTTAATTCAGTGCTTGAGTTAAGTTTAATTTAAAACTATTTCTTTCATTAGAAGTGGTTACAATTATTTGCTCTCAACACAAATCCATTGACAGTAAAAAAGGATGTAATGTCAAAATTTTATTTAAAATGATTTCTTTCGTTTAGACAGAAGACATTACAATTATTTTCTTACAACACAAATCCATTGATTGCCAGGATCATCACATAATGAGACGCAGCCATAATAACCAAAAAAGTAACAGAAAAAAAAACAAAACAATCTACAAAAACATCTCACCGTAGAAACTGTCCATAGATATCCGAGTTCCATAAACTTCTAGCAAATGTTTAAGCCATGTTTCTTGATATACTTCTGTCTTGCCTCGGCTATCATTTGAGCTTTCCTGTCCTGGAAGCCTTGGTGACGTCGTTTAGCGTCTGGAGGGAAATGGTCCGGACGAGATATTGGCCGGGGTCTTGAAACTGAAGGTTGGGGCTCTGGAGTGTACGGAGTGACCCCTTCGAGGAAATTGGTGATTGTCACGTCCACACTACGGGTAGTCGCTGATGGTGGATTGGTGAAAAATTACACGAATTAATACTGTGGATGTTTAAATGTAAAAAAAAATTACTAGAAAAAATTCCACGCGGACCAGGCAGCAGACGGGACTCAAACCCGCACCCTTCGCTATCCAGGCGGAAGCACTAACCATTATGCTACCGCGGCCCTAATGGCCGTGTCGAATTCTTTCTAATATGTCTTAGGCTGCAAGGCAGCGTTTAGATTTAAACATCTAGCAGTTAAATGCTTAAAAAAATTAAATAAAACTACAAATGCTATTTCTTCTTTCAAATGTTTAATACATGTAAAGGTATTCGTTTGACTTTGTGGGTTACCTACAATGCGCAGAGATGGCGCTGCTGCCTGGTGCGCGTGGAATTTTTTCGCCAATGTCCCGTAGTGAACGTGAACGTGAGTGAATGTGAACTACCCTTGCAGATCTATCCCAATACAATGACTAAGCTTCCATAACAATAACATGCTATTTTTAAATTACAAATAAAAAATAAAAAGTTAAATTCCGCATACCCAGATCCCGTAGTATATCAGCGAGAGGCACGGAGGGTAGAACCTCCTTGACTTGGGCGGCTAAACGAGACAATTCGCTTCCCGCGCTCACGGCGCGTGCCTCCCTCGCGCCCCTTACCCTACTAGGTCCTGATACTTGGCCCAACTCTTCCCACCGGTATTCTGTCATCTCCACCTTAAAAGAAAAAAGTAAAATTAAATTTTAATATACCTATTAAATTAAAATGAAAGTTAGAGCAAAATAAACCCTTAAATTTAAAAGTAAAAAAAAAAAAACAAATAAAAACTAAAAAAGAACAAAACTTTGAATCTAAAGAAAATATAACTAGAAAAAATTCCACGCGGACCAGGCAGCAGATGGGACTCGAACCCGCACCCTTCGCTATTACTATTCTGGGCTAGAGGAATTTCGACGGGGCCGTCAGGGCCGCAGTAGCATAATTGGTCAGTCAGTCATATTTTCTTGATATTTAAACATCAAGCAGTAACATGCTTAAAAAATAAAAATTATAACTAAACTTTAATTACAAAGTTAAATTTTAACAATTAAACTGTAACCATAACCATCATGTTAGCAATGAATGTACCCTAGTATCTCAACACAAGGTTTTACAACACAGTGCTTACTTTGAGTCTAGGCTTATTGCTTTTATTCCCAGTTGCCCCCCATACCACAACCTTTGGTACAGACGTCAAGATCTCTACCATTACAATGGTCGGCCAATAAAATCAATCATTATAGTGTTATTAATTAATTATTAAACTGTCAACTCACCCCCAATCCCTGTGCTATAGCCTCTCTAATCCTCTGATGGAAGGCAGCATCATTGTCATCGTGTCTCTCCAGCGAAGGCAGAGCGGTCACATGGAACACTGTCACCGGAGTCCACAAGAACCATAGAGCATCTGACCAGGGGAATTGTTCGCGAGTATCGCATGAACGATGCACCGTCACGCTCGTGAACGGACGCTCCACTGCTGTGTAGGGAATGAATATTTTAAGATCTTATAAACCAAAGACACCTGATATTAAGAACCCATTTCAGGTATAGGAGCAATTTACACGCACTTTGTACTTTATTATGTGACTAGCTGACCCAGCGAACTTCGTACCGCCCTAAAAAAATAGGGGTTGTCCAGCGGACAAAATTGTGAATCTAAACCATTCTCAGATCCCCTTGAACACACACAAAAAATTTCATCAAAATCGGTCCAGTCGTTAAAGAGAAGTTCAGTGACATACACACTCACAGAAGAATTATATATATAAAGATTTTAAAGCTGAATCCAAAAACTTTATCAAGCTCCTTCTGCAAGATGAGATTACTTCCAGACAGGCTTCAAATTGAGTGGAGATCTACTTTTCTATTAATTATGTGGGCTAAGACAACGGACTAATAGACATTACCTAATAGTACTTTCAGTAGATATACTGAATAATACAAATCGAACTTCGTTGAACAAGATAACTTTTGTCAAAATAAACACTGGTTTAACTTCAGGCCTTTGTTAGTCCTAAAAAGTAACTCTTTTGATGCTGTCTCTGTTAGGAGTCAGTACTTATACAATATTTAGTTAGTAGCTTTATAATACCTACTATTAATTTTATTTTTGTCTGCAATATTCTACATGACTGTACTGTGCTTAACAAAACTGTCAATAAGGTTGAACTGGCAGTAGGGTGGACCCACTGGACCGTGGATCCAATGGGCACCAAAAAAGGGGTCCAATGGGCACATTGAATGTAAATTTTTAAGGTCCAATGGACTCATTGAATATAAAACTTTTTAAGAAGGTCCAATGGACACCAAAAAAGAGGTCCAATGGGCACTTTTTGCTTTTGGGCCAACGGGTATTAGACCTCTCTGATATTACTAAAGTTTCCTTTTTATATTTTCATGTCCACTATTTGTGATTAACTATTTCCTACTTACTGATAGTAACTGGTTGAACTCTGTTCCCAATTTGGAAAGGCCATTCTGTAAATTTCAACAGTCCCTTGCCGTTGGTTGCCCCTCCCTCGGGTTGTAACAGTACTGACTTGCTTGAACCATCAGCAAAATGTTGCCTATAAAGCACAAAATTAGATTGTATAGACATACATTATGACTCATATTTGACTTCTTTTGTTATAGACTTTATCAATTGCAAACTGAGTAACAAATATGAAGAAAAACAATATATTGGGCCTAAATTTAACACTACCCTCTTGACAGAATTAACATACTGCACTTTGAATGTGAACTGGGGTAGGAACTGGGTACTACAACCCAAGATACAAAAAGTTATAACTTACCCTACTACTCTAATTAGCAGACATTAATAATTTTCGTTAATCTAAGCTGATAATACTCACTTTCTTACAAATTGAGCAGCATTTCTTATGCCGAGAGTTGATGCAAAAAATGGTGGCACTTTCCATTTTTTTAGCTGCAATAAATTTTATGGATATTTAATATTCACCCTTCAGTAAGTTATCAGAAAACAAATTAATTCACTTATGGGTGACTTGATAAGTGAATTAATTTGATACACAAAAGAAATCAGCAATTTCATATTATAAAATATAAAATACAACTGTGGCAAGAGTGAGAAAATAAAATAGTGCGCTTGATATCTTCCTCACTCTTGCAGAGTTTAACATTGTTTAAGTTAGGAAGAAGGAGAAGCTCGATGGTGCAGGTGGTTGGCGCATTCAGCTGCAATCTTTGAACTTAAACAACTTTTGCAGGGGCAGCAGGCAAGCACCAAAAATCTTCTATCTCGAGTTCTTCAGTGCTTCGGACGGCACGTTAAGCCGTTGGTCCCGGATGCATCTACAGTCATTAGCACCTGCCAATCCGCACTGGGCCTGCATGGTGGGTCATGGCACAATCTCCCTATTCCATCCATAGGGAAGACCTGTGCACCAGCAGTGGGGACATTAATAGGCTGATGATGATGAAAGTATGGAAACTTATTGATTGCCTAACCTTGGGCAGATTTAGAATAGTTTTTCAATATTAGTTACCTAATATACTTTTAAAGCAACAAAAAATAAATAGATAGATATACTTCAAATGTTTTTAATACTTCATACTTACACTAATTGTGCCTAGGACATGTGAGACCGCCAGTGAGTCTAGACATGAAACACAGTTGGCCACCAGTACGCTACATCGTGGATCTTTACTGCCCTTCAATTTCACATAAACACCTGCAATGTATATATGTTTCAATTAACTGTATTAAGTAGTCCTTGAAAGATTAACAACTGGGTAACTTGCATAATTTCTATACAAATAGAAATGAATGGTTTTTGCACATTAGAACTCCAACTTGGATATTATGTATCTATTCAGTATGATAAAAGGTAACTTAAGTATAAATTACCAAAGGTCCAACACGCGAAAGTAGAGAGTAACTGTCTCACAGCTTGGTTGTTGGGCAATAGTATTGATGCGATCCAAAGAATCAACGCTAAAATGACTCGTGTCGCCAAAAGTACAATCCCAAAGGGCAAATATAATATAAACTGTAGAACATTTTCTCCAGAAAACCTGAAAATGTGATAGAAAACATAACTACAAGTTTATGAACAAGTAAAATTCATGAACACACTTTCGCCTATACAAATATCATATATTTCATACGGATTTTACGTATACTCGCCTATCATCGTTTACTAGTTTGTCCACTGTTAAAGCCATATCTATTCTAACATTACAAACACGGACATTAATGAATTTTTGCTATTGTTTTGTTGCAAAATCCGAACTGAAAATTAATTTTTGTGTACGTATGACATGACCAGCATGATGACAGTTACTTTTTTTTAAATTATTCATGACCATGGATACAAGTCCTTCAGTCGTATATATAAATACAAATCTAAATATTCTTTCTCTTCTTTTCATTGTTTTTCTTCCAGAAATAGTACAAATTTTATGATCTTTACGTTTAAAGATGTTCCCCCCAAATAATCTCAACATTCGTAATCGTGCTCCAGAATCCCGAGAACCCCCACTCCCAAGTTCCCTGTTCCGGTATGCTGCCCTTGACTTGACCACGTGTGCCCAATCCCCTAAGAGCCCTCGCCTCTTGGACCACTTTTCGGAAGCCTTCCCTCACTGACCCCGATGTCTGATGCCCTCTACCCCGAGGAGCCAGCCCGTATGCCTGGCAGCTCTCCAGCTCCCCGCTCCTGTGACGGCTAGATCAAGATGTATAAATATATTATTATAGTTCTGCACACCACACTGCACAGAATACACTTGTCCTTATTACATAACATAAATGTAAGAAGATAAAAAAAAACATTACAAAATTATTAGATATATTTAAACTCGGAAAAGTCCTCATTTCTGTATTGAAGCTACATCATAAAATTGCCGTGATGTAGAAAGAATCAGCACCTTATAGATGGTAATAATAGTCTAAGCAGTGATAGTTTTTTGTAGGAAATCACATATACGTCACCTTTAAATAAAATTAGTAAAAAAAACTTACTGCTATGCTTCATTTTAGCTCATCAATCTCTTTATTTTGGCTCTTTCAATTTAAAATGGCAAGATTACAAAAAGTGTGAGAAGGATAGAAATAGAAGATGAGGAGGAAAGAAACATTTTAAGGGTCAAAAATTGTCTACACTTTTTCATTCTGAGTGCACTATAGAGGTATAAGAATAGAGTGGGGAAGGCGGCTCTAAAAGTGTCTGTCTAGTAAAAAGAGAAAGAAGATGAGAGACAGCTAGCTAACAGATTAATACCGACCAATCACACGACTGTGCAGCGTCGCAAGAGAGAGATAGCTAGCCGTCTCTCATCTTCTTTCTCTTTCTACTAGATGGACACTTCCACTAGTAGAGTACATAATCTCCCCTACTCTATTCTTATACCTATATGAAGTGCACCCTCCACATAGATTTATAACTTCATTGTTCACTGAGAGATGGAAAAACTGCTTATTTCTCAAAAGCGTTTAAACGTTGTACTTTTTAAAATAAGCGCGCTTGAAAAAAGCTTTTTCGTTTAAACGCTTATTGGCTTAAACGTTCAAACGTTGTGTTGTGTCTTCGTTTATATCGTTTAAAAAAGCGTGAAATTTTTATTGTCGTTTTTAATGTGTTTAGGTGTTTTACTGCGTTTTTTGTTCTTATTAATGAAATTTATATGAAAAATTTTATAAACTTAAATATTTTATGTGCACATTAAACCAATACACGAAACGCATTAACACAAGCAAGCACGCAAACAGACCGTACAACAAACACGCGCGCTTACCCCGTCACAGTGACAAGCGTTCTGCTTTCCGACTTCGTTTAAATAAACGCTTTTAACGAAAAAAGCGTTGGTTATCCGACCAAATTTTAAAAAATTGCACATTTTTTACGTCGCATTATAATAATTAGCATGTTGTATTAACCGGCTCACGAAAGATGGCGCGCCGACGCGGCGCTGTAGTCGCGCGTTCTATGGCTGTGATGCTGTGAAATATTTAGTTACAAGGAATTCCGCGTACTCATTTTTCAATACTGTAGTGGACTAGAAGGAATGAAGTATGTAGTTTCCTGGCAAAGACAGATGGCGGGATTAGCACTTTTTAAGTAAAAAATTTACTTGCACTTTTTTAAGTGAAAAGCTTACTCACACTTTTTAAGTGAAAAGCTTATAATAACGCTTATACTTAAAAGCGTGCTTTTAAGTATAAGCGTTATAAGCTTAATATTTTCAGCGCGCTTAATTAAGCGCTTATCGTAACGCCCACCAATATGTTCACTACTACGAACTGATTGATGAATGATTGATAATCATATTAATGTCAATGTCAAACAAATGTCAATTAATTCATTCCTTCATCCATCGAATGCTGATTTTATTAAAATTTTGTTTAGTTGTTGGTTGTTTGTTGGTGAAGTCTCTTAATGAACAGAGCAAAATTAATAAAAAGGATTTAAATTACGCAATTTTTATAAATCCATTTACGAGTCAACTATTTTGGAGTGTATTATTATAGTCACAAAGAAATTTTGTTTTTTTACTAAGGATTCATGATCGAATAAGGTTTTCTCGTAGGTAGTGTACGCATTAATTAATACACAAAGGATCCGACTTCTGAAAGCAAATACTAAAGTACCGTACTTTTTGTTCGAAAGTCATGTCAACCGATAATATTATGGCTTCTTTCGAAGATGACACTCATCGAGGTGCAGACGCAGAAGAAGATAAAATCGCAGGTAATCAAGTGAACCGTGACGACACTCAAGGATTTTCCTCTCACACACCAAACATGATCAATGAAATGGAAGAGAAAATGCGACGCAAGTTACAGTTTTTCTTTATGAATCCCATCGAAAAATGGAAGGCCAAGAGAAAGTTCCCTTATAAGTTTGTTGTGCAAGTAATAAAGATTGTGTTAGTCACATTTCAGTTGTGTCTCTTCGCTCACAACCGCTACAATCATGTCAATTACACATGGGACAACCGAATAAGCTTTTCCCATCTATTTCTTCTGGGTTGGGATTCGACACGAGAGATCAATGCCTACCCACCAGGAGCGGGTCCTTTATCTGTGTACAAAGTTGATGAATTTTATAACACCCTTGATTATGCATATGCTGGCTATCTAAATCTCAGCAATGCTATAGGTCCTTACTCATATAATGATGAAAACAATAAAAGAGTAGACCCAGTATTTTGCCAGTACAACTACAAGCAAGGAATAATAAACGGATTCAATGAAAGCTATGAATTCAACTCGGAGATTGTTGAGACATGTGTAACTTTTTATGGAGACGATTATACTTCTTTCAGTTCAGAGAAACTGTTGAGAAATTCAGCATTGGACATAAATTTTGCTTCTTTGGTGCGGGCTAAATTGATGTTTTCCCTGAAAACTATTAATTTTAGAGCTGCAGGTCCTATTACTCCTCCAGATTGTTACCGATTTGATGTAGCAATTATATTTGATAATGAAGACCATGATGGTCAGATGTCTCTCCTTCTGGATGCAGAACCATTTAAACTAGTCTGTAAAGGGGACCAAGAGTATGTCACAGACAACAAAATTGACCAAGTGCTCAGAAGCATATTAAATATCTTGGTCATATTCATTTGTTGTGCTTCTTTACTCTTGTGCAGTAGAGCTATTTACAGGGCACAGCTTCTCAAAGAATTAACTGTTCAGTTCTTTCAAAGAGCTTACAACAGAGATTTGAGCATGACTGGTCGTTTGGAATTCTTAAATATATGGTATATAATGATAATCGCAAATGATATACTCATCATTATGGGTTCAGCTATAAAAGAGCAAATTGAGCGCAATCAGTTTACAAATGATCAATGGAATGTGTGCTCATTGTTTCTAGGAACAGGCAATCTACTGGTATGGTTTGGAGTATTGAGATACCTAGGATTCTTCAAGACCTACAATGTTGTCATACTCACACTTAAGAAAGCTGCACCAAAGATATTCAGATTCTCTGTATGTGCATTGTTGTTGTACGCAGGATTCACATTTTGTGGCTGGTTGATATTGGGACCATATCATATGAAGTTCCGTTCTTTATCAACGACTTCTGAATGCCTCTTCTCACTCATTAATGGAGATGACATGTTTGCTACATTTTCAATAATGTCTAAGAAATCACCAATGCTTTGGTGGTTTAGCAGGGTATATTTGTATTCTTTCATCAGTTTGTACATATATGTGGTACTCAGTTTGTTTATTTCTGTTATTATGGATGCATATGATACTATAAAGCAGTATTACAAAGATGGTTTTCCAAAAAGTGATTTACAGCAATTTATTGGTGAGACCAACTATGAAGAGGTCTCTTCGGGGTTATACCGGGTACAAAGTTCGTCATCCCTCAATGCTATAATGAATTCTCTCTTTTGTTGTAATCTATACAGAAGAGCATATTCAAAAATAGGAGGAGGGATATCAAATCCCACAAATCAAAATGCATGATCTCAATGTTGCATAAATGGGTAGATTAATTAATTATGTTAGTTTGAATGTTATTCATGCTTTATCTGATAAGTATTGTTATTATCGTATACTCATATTTATCCTTATCTCTCCTGAAGGACTTTTGTGTGCAGCTTCTAGACAGCTGCTCTTATGATGTTCTGTTATTTTATAACAATATACTTATTGCGGTGATAAAAATCATGATCAAAATGTTTTTTCTAGTTGAGATTTTTTTTCTATGAAATTATCAATCATAATAAAAGATAAAATATTTGTATAAATTCTTAACTATGTTTATGATTATCAGGGATACATTTGTACTTAAATACTAATGTATTTTTTTATTTTAAGAGTTCTATTCAATGCATGTTTAATTGTTTACATAAGATTTTATAACAATGTTTTTATTATATTTTATTTATAAACAGTACGTAAATTATTTTGTGTAGGTAGATTTATCATTAATTACTAAATTATATAATTTAGGTTTAGGGTTCTCAATGTTGTTGCTGAAATTTTCTAAAATCTGGTTGAACAAAGAAGTAGAAGTAATTATTCAATGTTTCTTATTTTTCTGGCCAATTTCAGACCATATGCAGATAAGCTACTGGTACAATTCTCAATATCTGAAATAGCTTCAAGATTGTTCTGTGGTTTGTTTAATAACCACAATTCCTTTTCTCAAACTACTGACCACGTAAAGTTTCAAGATCGTTTCATTGCAGTGTTGGTTGCAATTTCATATGATTTAATACAACATCATCTTGAACACGCAAAATGTAAATTACATGTTTACTGCTGTTTATAAATAAACAAGGTAGGTACAGACATCCACACTATTCAAGTTACCACATACTGCAAAATTTTCTCAATTGCATTATCTAGGGATATAAAGCTCAATTCACTAAGAGGAATTTGATAGTTTTAGGTTATGTTGACCTGTGGTTATCTGTACCATAATATCGATACAAGTTCGATATTCATTATTCGAATTTTTATTGTCTTGCCTCATCTTATTTGTAGGCAGTGCGTCTAAATATTGTCATTTTCATACTTATGAATCAATATTAACTAGCTGTTTTACTATCTGTTGTTTTATTAATTAAAAAAGTAAATTCGAAAAATAGTTTATTTTGCTTTAATAATAATTATGCTTGTAGTAAGTTGTGTAGGTACACTTCGGAGTTACCATAACTGTAATAATAATCAATAATATGTATTAGAGATATTTTTAATTTTATTTGCAACTAAATCTAATACCAAATCAAATTATTGAAAAAATGCCCTTTGAAGTACCTGAAGTGTGTATTTATGCGCTCATTCTGGTTTGTTTTAGATTAAACTGTTGAGTGTTTAGAGATAAGGTTTTTAGTAGAATAACTGTGTTTAAAAATATAAGCTTTGTATATTTTGTTATTTATTTAAAAGTAAAAGAATAGTTTTGTATTGAAAATATAATACACAAACATTGTAAACTTGATGCCATGATTAAAGTTTACTTTTGTATTAAAATGACTTTTATTTGGCCACGCAATGAGGCGAACGTGCTTATTGGGGTTCCCTAATAAGATTTCATCTAAAATGACAGTTTATTCATAAATTTCACACAAGGAGAACTTTTGTATAAAACTTATTTAAGTAGGTACAGCCTCAGATTACTAAATCTGAGGGTACAGTAAACTACGCGACTAATTGCCTATGCAATTCTCTCTTAGGTCATCTATATCTATAAAACTCATAGGTGACTGACTGACATAGTGATCTATCAACGCACAGCCTAAACCACTGGATTGGCATGCAGGTAGATGTTATAACTTAAGGATTTTGATCAATTCTACCCCCAAGGGAATAAAATAAGGAGTGAAAGTTTGTATGAAACTTTGTCACTTTTAAACCGATCGAGCTGAGACTTTGCATGCAAGTATAAGATGAATCATAGATGAATGTCATTGTGTATAATACAAGCCTGAGAACAAAAACTGTAGTCTACACTTCAGCTCTACACCGAAGCGAAGCGAGGGCGGGCCGGTAGTTCCTATATAAATGGATTGGTTTTTATTTACTCGTTCGTGTAATATGATTGCACACATTGTCTGTCACGTTATCGATAAATAAGGTGTGTGACCGTTCATAACATGATATTTGTGACGAGGTCGACTGAATGGTTCTATCTAGCTTAGATAAAGTACCCGCCAAGTGTGAGTCGGACCTGTAGTGTAGGGTTCCATATGTATATATGTTGCACATCAGTGACGGGCTATCACAAATCGCAATGTTATGGCATTGTTACTCCTCAATTAGGAGGTCAGGTCAGGTGGTAGCATTTTCTGGAATTCCTGAAAAGCAATCATGTCGTTCATGTGGCGTATAAATTAGCGTAGACCTCCAGTCCAATGTATTATTATTCGAGCGTAAACAAATATTGACACTGTAGAGGGGTTCGTTAATGATGTTATTTTTGAATATTTAAGATGCTACCTCAGACATGCTGTAGACCGCAAACTGCAGCGACACCACTTGTGTCTATTCAGGTGCTATCCGACGGCCTGTATAGTCGCGGGCGCGGCCGCTCCGCGCAGTATTGCCAAACGTATGAGAACTCTAATGTTTGTGATTTAGCAGTCTATATACATGATACGAGCTAAATAGTGATCTCGTACACTTAGTGATGGCATAATAAAGCTGTACTTACTGTGTCGATCCTTTGTGGATTGGACATTCATTTACTTTCTGATAATATTTTTGGTTTACATGACACAAACAGTCAGCATTGTTCAAATCATAAATCAAGGTGTATGAGATTTTTATTTACCTCGTATCATGTATATAGACTGTTAAAACTCAAACGTTAGAGTTCTTTTACGCTTGGCAACCCTGCGCGGCTCGACAACACAGGCCGTCGGACAGCACCTTTATAATCTCTGTGAAATTGATTCTAAACGCGGGGCACTGCGGCCTGCAGCCGGGGCGTGTAGCAACCGCGGCGCAGGCTGAGGCATGGTTCTATGCATTGTGCAGTCGCGGCATGTCGCCGTGTGTGGAAAAGCAACCACGACCGCAGGCGACACTCGAACAGCTGAAAGAGTTTCTGCAAATACACGGGTAACCGTGTTTCACATCTACCCTACACAGATGGTACTCCCCCTCACGCCCAAGTCCGTCGTCCGCTGTTGTCTCTCACTGGGCTTTCCACATGGGTCTCACTCACTCGGTAGGCTTGGCCGCGAAGAGGGCGATGTGTGAAGCCGTAGACAGGGCCGTAGAAGCCGTTTAACCCTAAGGACCATCCCCGAACCGAACCTGCTACCTCTGCAGTAGCCACAAGCTAGAATTAGACTCCCCGCACACCGCGGCGCCTTCGCGATTTGGCGCCGGCGACGCACGAGAAGAAGACAACGATACAGGCGACACTGCGGTCGATCGCTGTCGCTAGCCGCAATGTCGCCTGCGGTTGCAGTCTGCCGCCCGTCTCCGAATTGTATCTTTATGTTTTTACATGGTTCAAAACCATTAAATTACATTATTACTCACTTTTTTTTAAACTACCTACTAGGGAAAAACTTTATCAAAAATCGGGACAAAATAGGTACTTGTTGTTCATCAAAATCGGGACTGTCCCAACTATATCGGGTTGACTCGCAGACGTAGGATATGGTTTTCCTTAGGCTTTTCATAGCTATTATTCTGATTCATTTCCTTGTTTCGAGAGGGGACTTCTAACAAAATTCGTTAAACAAGACTTACAATACATAGGAGCCCTTTCAATTCAACCGAACTTCATAAAATTCGCACCCATTTCTATGCTCACTGCCATTGAGTCAACTTACGACTTTGAAATGGCGTGCCGAAACAGGTCTCTTTTTTTCTTATAGAATTTTATTAAATTATTCGTTTTCTTGGTGGTAACTTATTACTTGTAGTAACATATAAGAGATATTATGGACGTCTGTCCACCGCGGCAGTCACAGGGATCTCAACGAGAAGGATTACCCTCATTACTTCCTTTTTAAATAGAGTCCAGAATGCCGACAATTATACAGAAAGATTAAATCATTTAGCTTAAACTGCTCACTTCAACCTCTCTAAATTATAATAAAACAGATTTCGATTTTATTTTATGTTGTTTCTTGTAATTTGTATTTAAATAAATAAATAATCGAAATGACACTGCGCCGAAGTTATGACAAATACATTTACTACACTCCTCCTTTTACTAAACAGGGAAATATTAAATAATTAAATGTTTTATGAACAGATTAAAACGTGTAATGAACAAAATATGATGTAATACGCGATTACGCTATTTTTGACACCCAGTTTCATAACAATAACAGCTGTACCCCATAGACGTCAATTAACTACATATTACCTACTTTCTTTGCGATAATGATAGGTGCTACCTCAGATTACAGTGTGCTATGGAAGGAACTTGATGGCACAAGTGGTTAGCGCGTTCGGCTGCGATCGTTGGGTGCGGCCAGAGTGCACTCAGATTCAGACTCAGAAAACAAAGCGCGAGAAAAAGCAGGCAACCTGCTTAGGGTGCGGCCAGAGTGCACTCAGATTCAGATTCAGATTCAGATTTCGAAAACAAGCGCAAGAAATAAACAGTGTAGTCTAAGCAGGTTGCCTGCTTTTTCTCGCGCTTTGTTTTCTGAGTCTGAATCTGAGTCTGAATCAGGAGTGCACTCTGGCCGTACCCTTCGACTACACTGTTTATTTCTCGCGCTTGTTTTCGAAATCTGAATCTGAATCTGAATCTGAGTGCACTCTGGCCGCACCCTTAGACTACACTGTTTATTTCTCGCGCTTGTTTTCAGAATCTGAATCTGAATCTGAGTGCACTCTGGCCGCACCCTTAGACTACACTGTTTATTTCTCGCGCTTGTTTTCAGAATCTGAATCTGAATCTGAGTGCACTCTGGCCGCACCCGTTGAAGTTAAGCAACTTTCGCAGTTAACAGCAGTCGGTCATTGGATGGGTGACCAAATGTATCTTAGAGCACCTCGGTGCTTCGGAAGGCACGCTAAGCCGTTGGTCCCGACTGCATCTGCAGTCATTAGCACCCATCCGCACTGGGCGCGCGTGGTGGGTCATGGCCCATGGAATAAGAAGTATTCCATCCATAGGGAAGGCCTATGCCCCAGCATGGGGACATTAATAGGCTGATAATAAATGGTGAATAAAAATAAAGGGCAGCCCAAAGTATTACAAAATCGTATGAAAATAATATGTAAGGTACTTAGTACCTACATAATACGACAGGATGCTACGACACGGATTCGAACCCTGGACTCATTAGCGGGAGTACGGGAGCCTACTAATATTGCATCCTTCTTTATCATTTCTTTATTGACTTAAAAAATATATTTTTCAACACATTTACTTAAAAAATGCGTTTATGGCGTTTGTATAGATTGTCCGAAAGTTCAAAATTACAGGCCATACAACAGATGCGGTAAAACGTTTTACCGAACGTTCCCATACATGGCGACGTGCGTATCCTTTACGATTATTTTTTAAATTTTGGTCGTACCTCCTTAAAAGCACTTTTAATCTATACATCTGCCTCACTTTAATACTAAAATGAAGAGACGAAAAATATAGTACTAATTTTCACCACCCGCGCGTGGCGCCATTTAGAAATACACGCTATTTTGTTATTAGGCAAAGTTTGCTTCATTAAATCAAAAGAAAAAATTACTTGAAAATAATTAAAATAACGATCAAAAACATTACTATAGATTTAAAAAATAACAATATATAATTTTGCTTCAATACTTTAACTAGATATAGATACTGTTTTTTCGCAATTGTTGAAAAACATTGTATGACATTCTTGCGGAATTGGTATTTACAAACTGGTGACTATGGTAGACCCTCGACTTCGTCTCGGGCTTACATTCGTCTACTCGTTTATAACCAACTTACCGCACTTAAATCATAAATAACTATTTCATTACTTGGGTAGGTAAGTACTTGTTAAAATAAACCAACATGGAGCAATGTTAATACATTTAATGTATAATACACATAATAATAACTTTTGAAATACATTTACATATTTACCTATTTACTAACGGCAAAGATAACAATATATACAGAAAACCTATTTATATTAAAAACAAAGAGTTGCAAAAACTATATACCTATATATAATTAATTACATAACGGAACTTTTCGAACAAAATTGATTTCTTTATGAAATATATTAGTATATGTTCTTTTTATATACAAATGTTTTTTTATTACTAAGTGTCGCCGCAGACGGGCCACCGACCGAAACCACAAAACGCCGCCACCGGCATATTTCTTGTAGTTTTCATACATTTTGTATGGACTCGCCACACACGATACGTCGGTGGCCGCCACACGCTACAAATCGTCGATGCTCGCTTCTTGTGATGTCCCACCCCTCTCTCCCTTACCTTAGTCGGCCTCTGTCGCGCGCTACAGCAGCCACTTTAGTAGCCGCTTCTAGCTTCTCGTGGCGGCGTTTGTGGTTGTGGTCAGTGGCCCGTGTGCGGCGACACTTAATCATTTAACTGCTAGATGTTCAAATCTAAAGAAAATTTAACTAGAATAATTTTCACGCGGACCAGGCAGCAGACGGGACTCGTACCCACAACCTCCGCTATCCGAGTGGATGCTGATAATGCATTTGACATTTTGGGTTACCTACAATGCGAAGAGATAGCGATAGTCCGCGTGCAATTTTTCTAGTAAAATTTTCTTTAAATGTAGTGGTACAAAATATGGACATAATAAATCATGCATGGCGAATCGACAAATATGTTACAAAGCGTCTCACGCAATCTGTACATATTTAAAAGAACCTACCTAATTAGGATTGTTTATTGATTTAGACTATGACAAAGATATTTAATGTACTCCATATAGTTGGGACCTAAGATCCATTCTATGGACTCCATATAGTTGGGACCTATGAGCTATTTTATGTTAAGTAGAAAAAGTCTTTTTCAATAATATAATTTATACAAATGTAGGTATTTTTATTTTTTTATACTGTATACAGTGTATTTTAATACTGTACTATCCACAGAGAATACTGTTCAATAATTAGATTTTTCCTTATTACCGTAACATAAATTTGATAGCCCATAAGTAATAGGTACCTATCTAATAAAATATCAGGATAAACATTCATTAATACTTACACTTTTACAAAATCAATGGACATTATTTTATTTTGTAAACAACTTTATTACGAAAAAATAACTTGTTACTTAAGAAGTAACAAGTTATTTTTTCTAAGATTTTTTGAATCCAACACAAATAATTTGATCTTTACCAGTTAAATGCAAAAACAAAAATAAAATATAACGAAATAATACGTTGTTAAATAATTGTATCCAATTTAACAATAAATTGGAAAGTTTCATAAAATAAGAAAAAACATTAATATGGTGCAGTCTGTTAAAGTTTATAACAAAATATTTATTAACTAACGAAGCTAATATTATTTAAACCCCTTTAGAAAGTAGATAATAATCCTTTCAAAATGGGCCAAATTTAAATGAAATTAAGTATAAAATATGGATAAGTAGCATTACATTTGGTATTTGATCACTCATATTCTAGTGTTTTATAAGTAGGTATATAAGTTCTGTAGACTGCTGAGTTTCATCAGTAATTGCATAGCAAGTTTTATATCAATATGAAACATGGCATCATACTTCCATAGATCCTATTATTATTTTCAATAGGTATCAAAACTTATTATTTTATAAGGAATTTGTATTTATCATTATGAATAGTACGTACATACATATTTTGTGCAATACAGGTATAAAAATGTAAAACTTAATCAGTTCCATAGATGTTCTTGTAAAGAGTAGGTATCTGATAAATAAAGTCAGCATCATAAGTCATAAAACAGTGCCGTCACTACAATACTTGTTTTAATTTGCTAATCTTTAAACATGACTAGCTCAATACAAATAGTAGTAAATATTTATATTATAATATCTGAAACATCATTTCATTAAATATGTCTATAAAAACTAAACATATTGTTAAAATCTAAGTATATATTGATAGATTTATTTTATAAGAATGCAATCAACTGCAGTCCGTTTATAATAAATATTATAATTATGGCATCATGATATGACGTCTAACTACGTTCTGATAATATTATGACAAAATTAACAATCCATATTTATATATTTAAAGACCATAACTTCATACGATCTAACCTTACGTAAATTCTCTCTATATCGAATTACATATATAAAAATTATACAAATGCTGCCCCATATTTCTGAAGTCTTCAATAATTCCAAGGAACTTACACACAATAACTTTAATAAATTATTAAATTAAAACTTACGATTGTCACAGCGAAATATCTTAACACTAATTCGACACAATCGGGGGACTGACTTTATTCCGTTCTCGCAAAATAAAACCACAATTATTGCTGACGCGAAGCACACATTTCCGTGAAACCACACACTATGGCCGAATGAAAGTCCTCAATCATCTTCATACAAAAAATCACAATTTCACAGTCCGTTCCATTGAGGCAAATTATTTCTTGTCATCATCGTTTGTGTCAATTGGCTCTGCGCCTAACATGAGTTGGATCTCATCAACACTCTTGCCCTTGGTCTCTGGGACTACGAAGAAGATGAATAGGAAGCCAAGAACCATGATGCCAGCGAATAGCCAGAAGACCTGGCCTGATCCTATGGCTGTATTCAAGGAGTTGAAGGTGCTTGTGACGGTGAAACTCAGAAGCCAATTGAGAGTGCCAGCTGTAGATCCTACGAATGATTTGATATCAATCAAGCAGAGTTCTCCGGCCATCATCCATGGTATTGGGCCAAAACCTAGAGAAAAAGCGACGATGAACAGTGACAGCGATACTAAAGGCAGCCAGGATATCGCTTGAACAATGCTCGAGTTGTCACCATGCGTGTCCTTTAAGAAGAAGAATACTCCCAAAGCTGTGGAGCAGACGCACATCACTAACGCGGATAGAAGAAGCAAGATCCTTCTGCCCAGTTTGTCTACTATCAAGCTGGATATGAAAGTGGCTATCACTTGGATAACGCCAATGATAATGGTAGCTATAGCGGCCGGAATAGTTGCCCCTGCAGAGTCGAAAATCGCCGAAGTGTTAAATATGACCGCGTTAATTCCTGACAATTGCTGGAACAACATTAGCGCGTAGCAAATTATGATAGCTTTAATAGCAGTCTTCTTAGAAATTGCCGAAGTGAAAGCAATCGGGTTGTTCTTCGCGTGCTCAGCCTTCGCTTTCAAATTGTCCAATTCGCTGTCCACATCGTACTCTCTTCCGCGCAATCTGATTAAAGCTTCACGCGCTTCCTCATTCCTTCCTTTCACCACTAAATAGTTCGGGCTTTCAGGCATGAAGAAGAATATCACGCCAAATATAATCGGAATCAAGGTACAGAGTATATTGAATACGAATACTGAAGTGTAGCTGCCTACAGCGTACGCGAACAGAATACCGACTGTTATCATCAGCTGGAAATAACTGCCTAAGCTTCCTCGGATGGAATCCTGTGCGATTTCGCTAGTGTAAGCGGGGGCAGTGACACAGAAAGCTCCTCCAGCGACGCCTGTGATGAATCTTCCAGCGATCAGCATCCCTAGATTTGTCGCGAAGGTAATCAGCAGCCATCCTAATGTGAAAGGCAAAACGAGGAGCAACATTGTCTTCTTTCTGCCTATCATGTCCATTATGAGACCTATAGGGAAGCAAACGAAGGCGGCGCCAAGATTAATGATGGACGAGACCCAATCGCCTTGGACATCGAAGTTGTAGTCGGTGCTGTTCGCTTGCGAGATCTTGAATATCACTGGAGAAGACCACCCCAGCATGGAACCCGCTGCCAACGCCCCGAGTGTAGCTGGAATTAATAATAAGAACATGTCAACGTGTGCTCACTTATCCTGCCCCCGTAGCATTTAACACCGCGATAAGGTATATAACGCGAATTTATCGCGCTCAGCCCCCAAAGCATGAGCACTGCGATATGATACAAAGCACGTTTTTATCACGCTCAATTGTCTAATTACTATGAAATTTGACAGTTCCACGCGATAAAAAACGTGATTTAATATAAATCGTAGTGCTCATGCTACTAGGATAGTTGTCAAATTACTATGGAGTTTGACAGTTACATACGATAAAAACGACATTTGTACTCCAGCCATAGATGTTTAATATGTATTTCTATATAAATATACTTACATATGTATCAGTATATGTATTCTATCCGTTACCCTAGTATCCTATAACACAAGCCTTACAGTGCTTACTTTGGGGCTAGGCTAATTGGTGTGTGTTGGAAATACAAAAAAAAACATGATATTATATAAATTGTGGTGCTAATGCTATGGAACAATTTAAATTATATCATGTTTTTTATCGCGTCTAACTGTCAACTAGTAATTTGACAATTGAGCGTGATAAAACGCGTTACTTATCACATCGCGGTGCTCATGCTAAAGGGGCTGGAATTTGGAATTGACACAGCTACCCGTTGATGGAATGGAACAGTAGTTACAGAACGCGGCACGTTACTCAGCGCTGAACAAAACGCGTCAGGGATAGCTGCGCATGGGTACGACTGGAGAGCCAATCGGCGCAACGCACACCCACCCGCGCACCTCGTTTCCCCCCAACACATCTTAATGTTTACTTCTGCGCAATAACGGTCAGCGCTAGAGTTTCGTGCCGCGACTTATATTCTGCCTACTACTAGTGTACTGCATGCTACCATAGGTCCTAAGTTCATAGTTATACTTTAATATGGACTGATATGTTTGTATTAATAAATATTCTAAAGTCCCGAGTAATGGTAGTATTTAGCTTTGCTTCATACAAATAAATACACAATAAATAAATTAATAATAGGTAATTTCTTATCCATGGTAAAATATTCTTTACTAGCAATCCACACTGTCTTTGCTCGGGCGAAATTTAGGTTTTAAAGAGCCAATGTCACTTATGAATACTGTAGCTATCTAATGGTTTAAGAATTTTTAATATCGGTCCAGTAGTTTTTGATTTTATTTGTTACAAACATCCACAAATACAAGTCATTCTTTTTAACAGTATTAGTATCATAGAGCAACACGGCCGACGTGGCCAGGAGGCGAGTAGGCATAGACAGCTTTCCCCTCTGTCAAGTTGGGCATAGAAACGATACATGTGTGCACGATTTGGCGATTTCTTGCGTCATTGTTTAGAAGTGAGTGTCTTAGTTAAAATTTCGTTGTACATTAAACTGCGTTTGTGTGCATATTCCTCCCTTAAAAATATGTTATAATGATTTGATTGAATACAACGAATTAGAATACGAACTACGCTGAAAAGTGGTTCCACGCAAACTGCGATCAAGTGGGCGCGGGGCGAAAAAACTACCATCATCACGCCAATCATGGGATTGGTTGGGATTTCTTTAACATTATCTTAACCAATGAATGGATAGCCGAATTTATTTGCAGCTATTTGATATGTCGAAGTATTTTGCTTGTCTGTTGCGTGTCGCGCTAGTTTTGAATTTTAGTTGTATTAGTTTGGGACCATGTTTTAGCGGCCTTTGTTTTAGAGAGTAATGCCTCCATATTATTTCTGATTCGTTATCGCTATTATGCCGCTAAGGCTCCCTTCCATGCCTTATCGGCACGTGTTGCTCCATGATTCCCCTCCATTTACTCCCTTCCGTGTTGCTCTATGATTAGTACAGATAGTACAATTGTCAGTTACACAGCACATAGAAAGACATTATGAGGGCCTTGTGGGCGGAGCAGGCACGCTACAGTTATGTGTGAGCAAATGCTCATTACTTGACCAAAACTTGGTTCTGATTGTGTCGTTGCTCTCGGCTGTGAGCGCTGATTGGTTGGACTGTTTGACGTCGCGTCGTTTGATTGGCTATTATCTATTAGGTGGAAGTGTAGTGGGGGGCAAACCGGCGACATCGGTTCCCGGTCTATGTTCACACATCTAATCACTTTGTGGTGTTTTGTGGATAGTTACCAGAGAGTGCTGCTATGTACTGGGGAAGCTTGCGGCCCCCCTCCCTCGCCTCCACGAGCACCGTCTGCGAGACGCCCACCTCCGCCATCGTGCCGTTGTTGCCCTCCGCTCGCTGGAAACAAAAATATTAAACATTACCTCATAAGTTTATTCAGCATTCCACTCTCAAGCATTGTAATTAGAGATAAGGGTTATCTGGATGAGATCGCTTTCAGCGATAAGCCTGACTGATTGTAACACTAGTATATTAGATTATTTAATTAAGATACTTATATATATTATATTAGGTAAACATGGTCAACTGAAACCGCCTTAACTGAGCCAGCACTAAATTTATTAAGATGATTATAGTTGATCATCAAAATATTGCTTCTTAAATCTTCAATACAGGCAATGAGTTAGTGTGATTTTTTCAGACCTCAGCACAATTCTTTCAGGGTCGACCTGGATGCAGGTTGTATGTGCAAAGATCAAAGACTGCATACCTTATTGTAAAAAAAAGCAAGAATAAGAAAGAAGAAAAAGAACTAAATAATAGTTTGTATAGTCCTTCTTTTTAAACAGTTTATTAAATTTTCAATTATGAGCATAATTTAGTATTTAATGGTTTATGCTATGTGTTTAATGTTGTTTCTGGCATGATTCTCCCAACCTAAACTTAAATATGACAACAGCACTTTTTCTATACAGAATGACAAAGAGAGATTGATGTTAAATTTAGTTTAAAGTTTATATTGTAAACTAGCGGTCGCCCGCGATTTCGTACGCATGGAGTTAGTTAGAAATAAAGGTTCACTGCTCGTTCCCTATAGGTGATAGTGTGATAACATGAAGCCTATATGTTGACCCGACTTCTTAATAATATTTGTGCCAAATTTGAAGTAAATCTATGCAGTACTTTTTGAGTTTATCCTGGACATACATACAGACAAACAGACTAAAATTCTAAAAACTATATTTTTGACTTCGGTATCAATTGTAGATCACACCCCGATTATTCTTTAAAAAAAATATTCAATGTACAGTTTTGTCTTTCCTACCATTTTATTATATGTATAGATGAGAAAATAAAGTTACTTTGTTATGTGTTATGTTAAGTAATGTTTTATCTGAGGCTATAAAAGTGATAATGGGCTATATAAAGCTTCAATATAATATTTTATTAGGTAAACAAAGAAAGAATATCCAGCCATACTCTGCATATTTTTATTGCAGGTTTGGCAGAGCATCAAAGATAATTAGTATGTCTTATTTAAGACTTATTTATTATCAAATGTGACATTATTTCGGCATAAGATGTTTTTGGAATAAATAGTGGAATGTTGCCAGCCTTTATTTAATAGCAGCACTTTTGTCAGTGCAGTCTATGGATCATCCCCCATCTTCCTCTATCCTCCACCAGCTCTTGGATCCTCCAGATTTAATTCCAGTTTTTTTTTATTTGTTTAGTGTCAATACCCAAATTAAACTAAACATTTATAAAGATACTGTCATAGAAGCTACTGTATACTATAATGTAAGCATACATTCAGGGTCCTTCATCGTTTGAATTCAATCAAAAAAAACAGAAAAGAATAAAGTTCTTATATGTAATAATTATCATCAACTCAGGTGCGCATATTTTAACTTCAAATAAACAAGCTTTTTTTAAAACCAATGAACCAATGTTTACAACCTGACCACAAGGCTACGAACAATGGTACTTACTATATATCATGAAATTATAGCCCATTGCTTGTTGATTCTTGTTATATACTATGTATATTGGATTTAGTAAACTCTTAGGTGACAATTAATTTTGCTATCAGACATGTTTGCATGAAAAATTTACAGATTCTTATGACAGACTAAAGGACAATATTACTGTGTGAGAATGTTAGCAGTCACAAGGAATATAATATGATTCTACCTAAATGTTTTGGTATTTTTTTAAAATTCCATGAGCTTGCTTTTTCTTACAGCAAAAGTTTATCAAGATATGGTGCTGTACGATACAGTATTTGTAAACAAATGAAAACATACATTGTTCTATCTACTGCACTTAGGAATTTGGTTGTGTGTTGAAGTTCTTTGATGTTCTGCCAACCATACATGTAATGATGCCATAAATCAAACTTAACATCAATAAACAAAAGTATTATCATTATAGACTAAAGTGTAACATAACAAAAACCATTAAAAACTAAATGGTTTGTATGCGTGATAGGTTAACAAAGAAACACGCATTATTTTTCATCAGACAGTCTACACAAGGACCATTAAGTTTGTATCTCAGATATCTACACTTTTTTTTTATAGTTCATGCAGTAAGAAACCTTGAATAAGCACCTCATTTTCATAATTAGCAGAACCATGATTGTTCGCAGGGATAGCAGGCAATAAGGGTTCTCTTTCATCTTCACTCCACGGACGGTTGCGGTATAAAGATGATCTCATTATGATATTTGGACGGATTTGATATACACGACATAAAAGCCACGTCTTGTCACAGTAAAATTGAACAAAAACTGTTTATTTTCGCGATTGCGATTGTAAGCGAAACACAGTTAAACAGCTGTTTTGTTTTCTGACATTGACATTTGATGTGACGGAGTAGTTAGTATGGTAATGGAAATAAGTCCTAAAATCAAACGAATAAAGGTTACTTTGCTATATCGATGAAACATCAGTGACGCCATAGAGAATATTGATAGTACAGATAAGGTAATTTTGCGATTAATATTTAAAAAAGGTATGTATTGAAATAGGAAGGATCAATTTATCCCATACAATGTAATAATTTTTGTGTCATGGTGTCACAAAACAATGAATTCAGCGATAAAAAAAAGGGAGGTTAATAGGTAGGTACTTTTAGCGACGAAGTTGATGAAGAATTGCAATTTAAATTAAAGTAATAAAATGCAACATGACATCAGATTATTGGATTACTTTTGTTAGAGAGAATGGTTATGAAACATTGGCGTGTATTCATGCTTAGATATATTTATAAAATGAGGTATGAGACGGAACAAACGCCTGCGTGAAAATAATAGCAATATGCTCCGGGCGGGAGGTGGCTCAAACCAAACGTAAGCACTTGCTTAAATTAAACCTAATGAATATTGTTACTAATTTGGTTATTTTGAGTTAGGAGGAGATTTGTGTCGTTTATAACAATATTTAAAAATATGTTTCATGATGTCGTTTTTGGCATAGCTAGAGATTTTTTCTAGGGAGGGCAGACTTCCAGTTGAACTGAATAAATTCGACAGGCGCAGATGCAGCTTCGAGTCTCGTCTACTGCCTGGCCGCATGATTTTTTTTGTAGTAAAATATTCATTAGATAAAAAATGTGTTTTATCTGTAACTACGATTCGTATAAAAAAAGAAAAAGATTCGGTGACACTTTTCTTAGTCGCTCTATTTGCAAATGGAATTAATAGAATAGGTAGGATAGAATTATTTGCCTGCGCACGTGTCCACTCCTTCCTATAACCCGGGGTCCGTCAAACAAGGTGAGGATGGCGGATGTGGTAGTTAAAACTGCTGCACCAGTTATCTTCGAGACTGGACGCTTTCATGTTTGGCAAACTAGAGATTGCATTTCGTTCGCTTTGTACATTTGATATTTCATAAAATATCTTGGAAGAGGACGGATCAGTATAGTTACTGAGTCCTATCAACATTTTGTTCTTCCTTACTCATACGACCTTCTTCCCTGGCTGCATCTTGACGTATCCTCGGATTCCGATGGGCTCATTGCACTTGTACAGTCAAACATTTATTATGTTTCTGGTAGTAAGTTGTCACTGCCGGCCATGGATACTTGCAGCTTGCAGCACCAAGGGTACCCACTCATACGTCACCGGCTCTACCTAAATCTTTTGGTTTACCCGCCCTTTGACGACGATCTTAACATAGTCAAAAGGAAAAATCGTTGAGAGAAGTTCGTTCCAGATATTTAGGTAGGCCAAAGGGGAAGATCTTCCTCCGAGCCCGTATGATGTTTATCCTTCCCTGCGTAATAAAAAAAGAGTAGCTCGCCTACATGTAACCTGGACCTGGCCTGGATATGATTTTATTTTTTCATCGTCTACCCCAGACGTATCGTTTAATAGGTCCTTTAAAATTACTTAGGGGTTCCTAACACTTTTTTCGATTGAGGGATCCGTTTGCGAAATATTTAACTTTTTGTCCGTGTCGGGCCCCCTCTAAAAGCTAAACTATTGACTTGAAAAACCCGGGAATCATCATGATAATAGTGCTTTTCATGAATTTAGTTGGATGTATATCATTACCATGTGGTATATTGTAGGTACCCAGGTATACATTTTTTTGGATGTCATTATGATAATACAAAGTGCTGATTCATGGCATTACATTACAACGATTTTCTATGCGAATCAGCATATCTGGGTATAAAATAGACCAATTAGACATAAACATCGGAATTCCCACAATTTTCAGCACTTAAATAGCACTTTTAACTGCTAACTTCAATATCACAATATGAAGTAATAGTAATAGTAGTTTCTTGCAAAAACAGTAAGTATGGTTTGCATTGCCGTGTAGTTCAGAGAGTCATGTCAGAGTGCGTTTCCGGCAAAAGAAAACAGTTTATTAACATAATCTCTTTTTTCTTTCTTTTGTATTGGTGACAACAATATCAAAGAAAATGAGCGTAGGGTACTTGAAATCCTTGGGCGGTCAGAAATAACAAAATCAAATCGTAAGCTATAGCGATAGCCAAAGCAATTTGGTTAGGCTATTGACCCCCTGATCGCCAAGCAGAAGAAAGAGGCTATCCCTATCAGTTACGATTTCATTCTGATATTTATGACCCTCGAAAGTTTTCAAATACCTCACACCCATTTTTAGGGTTCCGTAGCCAAATGGCAAAAAACGGAACCCTTATAGATTCTTCATGTCCGTCCGTATGTTACACTTTTTTCGAAACTATAATAACTATACTGTTGAAACTTGGTAAGTATGTATTCTGTGAACCGCATTAAGACATTTACACAAAAATAGAAAAAACAATTTTTGGGGGTTCCCCATACTTAGAACTGAAACTCGAAAAATATTTTTTCTTCAAACCCATACGTGTGGGGTATCTATTGGATAGGTCTTCAAAAATGATATTGAGGTTTCTAATATATATTTTTCTACACTCAATAGTTTACGCAAGAGACTCTTCGAAAGTGGTAAAATGTGTGTCGGCCCCCCGTAACTTCTAAATTATGAGAATGATTAAACTAAAAAATAGTTATGGCAAATGGCCCCCGGTTTAAGTCTGTAGTTTCGTGTACATCGATGAAAGTAATATCCATTCTTTGCCAAATTTTAATGAATCGAGAGAAGTCTTGGTGACAGCGCTTATTTTTCAAAGAGATGTCATTTAGGGTTATAAAACTCCTCATTTGATTAACTCTAACTCCTCGCTTCCACCAACAAACAAGTCATATACTAGTTTTAAACAAAACTCGTAGAATACTAGTTGTGGCTGTTTAAAACCTTCTTTTGTTTACACTGCATACAGACAACTAGTATCTTATAAGTATAAATCACTTATTTACTTCACATATTTATATCCAACAAGTTTGAGGCAAGTATTGTATACTATAATGCGATTCAACTAAGAATAGGACCGACTGGGCGCCATATTCTGACGTCATAGCTGTCAATTTTGCAAAAAAAAGATTATTTAATAAAACTTATTTACTATGATTAAGCGAGCAAAACATCAGACATTTTAATAAATATTATTAACTAAGATTGAGAAAAAAAAACAATCGATTTTTGATAATATTTATTTATTAAGACTGTGAGAAAAAACATTAATCAGAATCTAGCTATTCAATTTCGCTATTACCGCCGGTGTAGTTATAAGTGTTAACAAAAAATGAAGACATTGTTTATTAAAATTTATTAAATAGATGTATAATACCTTGGTGAAAGGGTTAAGGTGAATAATGTATAAAACATTCATGAAAGTACTTAACTCTTATCGGCTTAGGTGTTATTGATAGGGGGTTTATATAACCACCAAAGGTGCCTAAAACAATCGTAGTTATCTCTTACGATCTTCAAATAATAATCTTCAAATTCCTTAATAATAATTTTATATACTTAGGTATTGCTAAAGCAATGAACGTAATAACGTGTAATAGGGTATTTGACAAGTTTTAGAAATCGATCTCTCGTTATTGACTAATGTTTATGGAGTCCGTAAAAAGTGGATTTTCATCATTCTGTTGTGTATTTCAGTAAAAATAACCAAATCAAAAACTCCATTTTCTAGTTGCCGCGAAAACGTTTCTCTGGACTAGGGATATTCGATATACATCGATGCATCGAAAACATCGATGTTTGCAATGAAAAACATCGATACGATCCGATGTTTTGAATAGCTTTCAATATACTCGATGCATCGATGTTTTAAAGAAACATCGAATTGGTAATAGAGTTTGACCACGTAGTGATAATATCCTCTTCGGTTTGACCTCAGTAAAAAAACTTAAGTTTGACCACTAAAATTTTACTTATCATGAAAGCACTATCATGACTATCATTACTATCATGAAAGCATCATTATTCCGAATTCTCTGATATGGACCCGATGTTGGCAGCACTGCGCAAGAGTCAGTGCAGTGACAATAAAAAATAACTACGAGTTTCTATGTTTATAAACATTTAATAAACCTTTAGTTTTGTGAAAGAAATTAAGATTGAAGTATATTTCTAATATCCTTTTGACAGACTTAGCAAACATTTTGCGGGTTATTTAGCGTTTTTTTATATGATCTTTTGTAAAAATATAATACAGATTTTTCTGACACATGACTTTTACTTGTATTTAGTTTTACCTACTCATTATGAAAGGAGTTAATTCTATTATTTTATGAAAGATTAATATATAAACTATAATAAAATTATGGATTAAGGTCTTTTCATAAACTTCAATTGTAATTTTTTTTACTATGAAAAGATGGCCTCTTTTGAGATGGGTCACTTTACACATAAGTTGAGTTTTGTAATAAAATTTCAGAAAAAGTACTCGATGTTTAAAATACATCGATGTTTTCATCCGATACATCGAATGACATCGATGTATAGTTGCGATGTATCGAATCAAAAAATACATCGATGTTTTTTCAGAGTGGACACCCCTACTCTGGACAATATGGCGTCTTACTAGTGTGTGACGTCACACGCCTGTTATTAAAACGTCAAACGATACAATGTAATGTCACTTTAACCGGAAGTTTACTTGCATGTGATGTCATTTTAGGCTCCGCCAATCCCAAGCGTTTTGGGTCACGTGACAATAGATAAGAAAACTATTATCTTTTTCGTGGGTTTTAGTAAAATTATGAATATTGTTTTTGTAAAAATAGTAAAAACCCCTGCCAATATTCATTCTCACAGATGCTAACAATTGGCTCTTTATTTTTAATACTGTCAAATTCCCTATTATGTTTCTTATAGTTTAAGTTATCTCATTATATATATATAATAATGTGACTAGCGAGTTATATTGTTGTTATCATGCCATAGGCAAGTGTTTGTGTACTGGATTTACTTTCTGAGTTAAGGCTGAAGTTGAGTAACATTATTATGTTTGAAGATATTATTGTTTTACTGTATATACTTAACTGACTTGATCTCCTTCTGGGAATATCGCCATTTTTGTTTTATCATTTACTTGATATGTACTAATATTAACACACGCGAGAATGTGAATTATGTATAAAGTGCGATGTAAATTGGGTAAAATGAAAACTTTTTATAATATTTCATGTATCTACATATATCGATTTGTACTACAAACAATACCCTTAGCACAAATCAATATCAAATTCTAATAGTTTGCGAGTGCGAAATGACATTGTCAAATGTGTACTGATTTTTAGTTCTCGTTACGTCCGTTGTGGCGCTGCTGTTCAAGTTTCCATACAAAAGTAGACAATGACATTTCGCACTCGCAAACTTTATGAATTCGATATTGGTTCGTGCTAAGGGTACTGTTAAATATATGTTTGAGAAAATTGTGTAAATAAAACTTTATATTTCTATTTGCAAAACTACATTTTTGTTAAGGAAAATGTATGCACGTTTAAAGGCATACGTAGGTAGGTAGTCGTAACAAAGTTTTTTTAATAAGTAATTTCCTTTATCTACTGAGAACATGAATATTGCTGGCGTTGTTGTTCAGATTATCGCGGGGAAAAACAGACAGGAAAAATTTAAAACCATGATTATTTTATTGCATTCTTCAACTGACTTCATTTACAAACCATTTCCTACTAAAAAAATCGGTAAATGCGAGTTCAATGCGCGTGAAAGGGTACAAACCGTTCGCTTATACTTTATAAATAAATAATAATAAATTATATATTTTTAAATATAATCCTATTTCTTTGTGGTTTCTCTATAAACTTTAAACCGACACGAACCTCCTCACCTAATAGTTACCCAGTTCTTAGAGAGCGCCAGTTTATATTGGACGTGAATGGATCCCAAACCACTACGTATACTATAAAGTTCTAGTTTTTCCTGTAATCTACAAGCAAAGAGCAATATATAGGGTTGCCAACCGTACGAGATTACGAGTTTTCTGGCCTTACGTACGAGGTACGAGAACACTTCACACCATGTGTATGAATAAGATTTCGTCAGATATATTTATAAAATGATTTTTCAATCGTAACTATCCAAACCAGTCTATGTTTATTATAATTTTTATTTTAAGCATTTCATTGTTGATGTTTAAATCTAATGAAAGTTTTACTGAAAAAACATTTCTTTTCAACAATTCTGCGGCTGACATATAACATATATTTTTTTAAGTTGAAACCTTCACAATGAGCCCCGTGTTTTGATATATAACACAGTACAGTAAGCTAAATTTTAATTGGATAAAGGAGATAAGTTTAATTACAATTTGCACTCCTCCTCCCGAATTAGTGACACAAATCACACTTCTGTCGCCCTTCGCAAACACATAAAAAGTAAGGTACAAAAAGGTACCTAGTTTAGGCTGCGCATTTTACAAAGTTATGTTATGCTGTGTTGATGGACCATAAATAAATAAATGTATTTTACATAGCATAGTATTTTGTTTTACACAATTTTTTCGTTGAGAAAATTCAAACTATGGCGGTGCTGTCAGAAATCGGGCGTTTTGAGTGATATCTATCTGAGTGAGAGATATTTACTTAAATCGGATATCTGGCAATAGTGCCTGCCAATAATTATAATGGCTACATTTGTACTACAATAAAATATGGCTCAATTTAACAACCAGAAGTAAAATTTGGTTTAGTTGGTGCAAGGGCGGATCCAGCTTTGGCACCAGGGGGGGGTCATATAGCCAGCTTCGGCGCCAGTGGGGGGGGGTCATATAGTCGTGGTATATTAAATATTGAAAGTACTTAAATAAAATCCCCCTGGGTTTGGTCCATCTGTACCCAGCCCAGGGGGGGGGGGGGGGGGGTCATGACCCCCATGACCCCCCCCTGGATCCGCCCTTGAGTTGGTGTTAGTCAAGTTATCGTTCATAACTGTACCTAAGAACTTACCCTATTCGGATTTGAGGCTGGTGGACCCATAGTGCGTGGTGGTCGCGGGCCTAGAACTGCACTATTCATACTTGTCGTGGCTTGTGCCATACCAGAGACTGCAATCCCCGCGAGTATAGGGGCTGGCCCGAACACGGCTACCCCTAACGGTGTCAACAGATTTGACCCATAGCCCGAACCCAACATGGCTCACAAAAAAAAAAAAAATCAATTCTCAAATAGTTTGTTTCTCAGATCTATCTATGTCGCTGACAATCGATCTTCGCGCTTCGGTTGCAAAACACAGGCACTCCACAAGAATATTTGACAACATGAAGATAAATATTGTTTCATCTCGATGATAGATATATATTTTGGTGCAAGTTTATCTGCCAAGTACGTACTCAGTACTAAATTCGGATCCTTATCAATTATTATCATTATTGACAGATGCCTCTTAATAAAGTCTGGTACCTAGGAAGGTAATGCTAAATCTCAGAGTTTATATAGATTTCTGTATCTGTACGTCTTATGTTCCTACAGGCTTGGTAGAGAATTTTTCACATTTGGTTTTGATTTACGTTGTTCTCCGTAAAAAACTCCCTTGACAAATTTTCAGTCAATCTACTCAACAATATACCTAGATTGTCCATTTTTCTGAAAAAATTACTTCATCATCAGCCTATGGACGTACACTGCTGGACTTTAGACCTCCTGAAGGAATTTCCGTACAACGCTCCTGCGCATCCAGTGGATCCCACTCAGACCCGTCTTTCCCAGTGGGCACTTTGGGCAAGTGCCTAGAGCTCCGCGATCGATAGGGGGCCCCCTCAGGGGGCCAATCGCCTAACGGAAATGCTTTGGAAAACGCTAACGCTTACGATTTTATTTTGTTATTTCTAGCCGCCTGAGGTATTCAAATGCCTCGCGCTCTTTCTTTTTCTTTTGCATTGGTAATAACAATATTTAAAAAAATGAGCGTGAGGTATTCGAAAACCTCAGGCGGCTAGAAATAACAATATAAAATCGTAAGCGTTAGCGTTTCCCAAAGCATTTCCGTTAGGCGATTGGCCCCCAGGTCAAATACAAAATCCCTAGTTCCTGTTAAATCACCAACGGAAGTCATAGGAGCCCCAATATCCTAATATGCCCAGGGCCTCCAATAGATCAAAGACGGCACTGTCCCACTGGAAAATTTTACTTACTTACTGCATATTCATTATAGTGCTTAGTGTTATAGAAAAATATGCAGAAAAAGGCTAAGATGTCTATCAGACATAGCGAACTTTCTGTTCTCGAGGATAGATTCCTCTCGTATGATGTCATCTTGCGAAAGAATGTTTCATTTCATATTTTCCCTACAACTTTTATGTAGGTTAGTGGAACCTTTGCCTGAGTGGGGATTATTGTATTTCGTGTTTGTTATTATATATTTTAGAATTCGACGACTCTGTATATAATACAGGGAGAAAAAAACAGCCCTTGCTGAGTTTCTTGCCGGTTCTTCTCAGTACAATGTCTTCCACAGTAGATTTAAGAACCGATGGCGTAGCTTTTCGACATTAACACAGTCTTGTTTTTTTTTTTGAAAATTAGTTTCGATAACACTCACTAAATACTTACTTAGGTATATGATTATGGCATAAAAATGGTGACGTTGAGTCGTAAAACATTTTATTTTATATATCTACAATTAGGGCTGGCACCAAATGCGGGTAACTCATGCGACATGCTTGGATTGAATTACTTTTCCGCAAAAAAGCTGACTAAAGGGAATTTTAAGATATAAAATATAATTACTCGATGTGAGAGATTAAACGCTGAAATGAGTTTCTATGAAGATTTTCTCTAATTCAATAAGTGTGATCTGGCAACCCTAAACCATATGACTACAGTGCAATAAAGATACTGAAAACAATATAGTTTTATTTATGATAACCGACAACAGATCCAGGCTTTCACTAAGTTTTACTTTGTTTTCATTGTTTCATATACTATATGATGCTATTTTTAATCATTATAATGTCAGCACGAGCTTTGTTTTTATATATTCTTAGGTACAATTGACCCTTTACTGAGACTGATAAAATAAAACTGTTAATCCGACAACACTAATCTTACATGAACAAAGAAATTTGGTGACTCACTTCTTTGTTGTATTATTCGTAAGTGGAATTCTTTGCTTGCGCACGCTCTTTCCTACAAATTGGGGTCCTAAAAGGCGTTAATAAGCATTTTTGCCCGCGCACGTGTTCCCTTCTTCCTACAATTTGGGGTCCTTTAAGAGAGGCGTGAAGAAGCATTTTTGCCCGCGCACGTGTTCCCTCCTTCCTACAATTTGGGGTCCTTTAAGAGAGGCGTGAAGAAGCATTTTTGCCCGCGCACGTGTTACCTCCTTCCTACAATCTGGGGTCCTTTAAGAGAGGCGTCAAGAAGCATTTTTGCCCGAGCACGTGTTCCCTCCTTCCTACAATCTGGGGTCCTTTAAGAGAGGCGTCAAGAAGCATTTTTGCCCGCGCACGTGTTCCCTTCTTCCTACAATTTGGGGTCCTTTAAGAGAGGCGTGAAGAAGCATTTTTGCCCGCGCACGTGTTCCCTCCTTCCTACAATCTGGGGTCCTTTATGAGAGGCGTGAAGAAGCATTTTTGCCCGCGCACGTGTTCCCTCCTTCCTACAATCTGGGGTCCTTTATGAGAGGCGTGAAGAAGCATTTTTACAGACCGGCAAGGTGAGGATGGTTGGTGTAGCAGTTTATAACTGCTGTACCAGCTATCTTCGCGTTTGAACTTTATCACCACTTAACATCAGGTGGAGTAGAGTCATTTGCCTACCTCGCTATAAAAAAAACACTAGGTACGTACAAAACAGGATTTTTAATTAATAAGATCCAAAGAGAAACAACAAAATAAACGTAAGTAATTGATTTTGAAAAAAAAGTAGCCCTATGTATACATTCTAATAAGCTGCATTACAGAAAGAAGAAGAACTTCTTCTTGTGCTCTTTAATCCAAAACATGTAACTTACGAATTCAAATTTTAATATAATGGTGGCTACTCACCATCATGGCACTTAAGTTGCTTGTAAAAAGAGGCTTGATCAAGCCAAAATCCTTCCGTCAAGTGGCATATCCTTCTATGTCTCCCAACACACGATCAGTTTGGTTTGATCGAGCCTATTTGATTAAGCGACAGAATAGCTACCATAAGTAGATCATAGCTAAATGTATTTAATAATAAATATCATGTTTGAAGATGTGTCAAACATCTATCCTTTTAATTAACAGGTAGATAGACTCGATTTTTCAATATAAACTTTTGTGAACTTTCCCGGAAACGTTTCACGTTTTCCAATATTCGCAGGAACGGTACAACGTGATTACTCTACGTACTCTACAACGTGATCATGGCTTTACATTACAATCATACAAAATATCTGAGACAGGCTTTCGGTTATAAGTGCAACAATTGACTGTTCTGAAGTGTCCGTTGCCCTTCTACATATCCGGTTCCGGGTGTCGTTGTACTTTTTATCCTTGTAGGAAATAAAAACCAATAACTTATTCGATTGATAAACTACACCAAGATATAAAGTTTAAATAATGGAGTGTTATCAAAGTTATATATTTTATGATATGACAATAAATATAATTTATTTACAATAATTATATATACAGGAACAATGAACCTAAAACTAAAAACCTTCAAAAATATAATAAAATAACTAAAATATATTATTAAAAGGAGTCACTTTAGGCAAGGTTCCGAAGATACTGGCAGCGTTCCCCCTTTGGATAGTTAGACTAATTCTTTGTCCGAGATAGCTGCCAGCTCTTCGGTCTCCAGTGATGTCGACTAACCTTTTTACAATAATCAATTCATAATGGCATTTACTTTTTAATAAAACGAAGTTGATATATGAACAAAGATTGTGTAATCCCCAACTAATCACTATTTTTTCCGTTCAAACTATATTTTAAGTACATAATTATAATGTGATACTTAAAGCGAAGCGAGTCAGTTTGAACAGTTTTTACAGACTCGCTTCGGAAAAACGCGTGTTGTCTAGTAAGAACTAGTTTTAACTGATATTCCATTAAGTTAAAACTAGTTCTAACTAGGGAAAACGCGTTCTATCTAAAAACTGGTTTTAACTGTAACATATATTTAAAAAAAAACACTTCGTTTCATTTAACAAGTCATAATTAAATTACTGCAAATGTAAGAATCCCCGAAGCAATTTCTAAATTTATTTACCTCAATTACAAAATTGTTATACTATATGGTTTCTGATTTCTATTTGATTGATGATTCTCTAAAACTAAACTTAAAGGACAATGGGCAAAACACACCCAGCTCCGCCAACAATAAAATTAGTATGAATCGAAAGATCTATGAAAAGCTAGCATTTTTTATTATGACACCGTAAAAAAATATCCTGGTAGTCAATAGATATGACACCGTAAAAAATATCTTGGTAGTCAAAAGATATGACACATGGGAATATTAAAGTTGTTAAATAAATTCATTATATAGTACCTTCACTTTTTATTATTAGTAACCATAATAATATGCCATAAGAAATAAATATCTTACTGTACTCGTACAACCAGATATACGACAAAGCCTGCCGACCATCCTGCGCTTGCACTTATTGAGCCACCTCAAAACGGTTTACGGGGACTGAAGGACTTGCAGTTGCAAATAGTCGACTCGTTTTACTTCGTTGTGATTGTGCACTCCATGTCACTTGATTGATTTTTATCTAACATGCTTTGGACATTGAAACACGATTATCGGTTTTGTCAATTAGTATGGGTGAACTGGAATCATGTTTTCTCCGAAGCGTGGACATGGACAAGTTTGTGTGATTTGTGGTCGCTCCGTTTTACATAGAAGACAATTTACTGTAACGAACAGACTGTTTGAAAAAACCCGAACCCATGCGGGGTTTTTCGGATTCTCTCCAGCGCGGCAGAATAACATAAAGGGCCACCCTTACATCTTGTGAAGTACTCCCATAATATCTGAGCCCTCTATGTAGGGTCGAACTAACTAACTAAATTAATTCCCTTGTTTCATTAATGTTCGTTCGTTATAGTAATCGTACCAATTTAACTTAAAATAACTAAAGACTCCCGGGATAGAATTTGATGCGCTTTTGCACAGATGATCATTGCTAGTATACCTTTCAAGCAAATGTAGTTTAAGCCAAGGCGGACGTGGGTGCAGCGTCCATACATTTTTGCCCAATGTCCTTTGACAACATTGTATCTGTAGTTTTAAGTTTAGAGAATCATGCCAGAATCGACATCACTAATATATTTACCGTTTCGTGATCGTAAAATAGTCATAATATACCTACTTACCTACATATCTGTGATGTAACCCAGTACCTAGGTATGTAACTATTAGATTGATCTGGATCAATTTTTGATATTGGATGTCATGCTAATATTTGTTTGATAAGATAAGCATTTCATGGATTTTTGTAATCACATACTATAATCACATAATTTGGTACCGATGATAAGACAGCAGCACATTTGAGATAATTTCGCTGTTAATTGCAAATGTTGTTGACTTTATGCAATTTACAGAGGGTCATATTCGTGTATTAAGTAGTATAAAATCCATACTATTTTGTAAAACTATCTGCCTCCCTGTTACGCTTTAGAAAACTGAACCGATTATGATTAATTTGAGTATGAATATCAAAGAGAATTTGGGACAGTAAAAGAACAGGGGGGTGAAATATGTGTAATAGTTTGTATGAAAAATCAATTAACGTTAATTTCATTACAGGTCATTTTAAATCACGTACTGTGTTAGACTAAGAACACTATTTTAATCAAACTTAAAAGATTTAAGCTTTATAAATCCTACTAATATTATAAATGTGAAAGTTTGTATGTTCTTTACTCAATCACGCAAAAACTACTAAACTGATTTGCATAAAATTTGGAACGTAGTTTATGACCTGGATTGAGACATAGGATACTTTTTACCAGTGGCGGCGCTAGACCACATGTGGACGTCGGCGACATCGAGTTCGCGAGGCCTATTTTACTTCGCAGTAAAAAAACCGTTAAATTAAGTGAGAAAAATTATAAAATAACGTATAAGTAAACAAGTTTTATTGTTGATAATCAAATGATGACAAAAAAAATTAAAAAAATAGAAATTTAATTACTAAAATAGTGTTGCCAGACAGACGATTTAGAATACCCGTAAAGTACAACTCGCTTCCATCACGCACGTGTTCGGACAATTCGTCCTGGCTTAGGCCAGGCCAGGAGAATCGAAAATAAATAGGTTACTTGTAAAAA